AATAAATTTCAGTCATTTTTGCCCCTATATGTATTTCATTGCGACGTTTTGTCTCTCATCGACCATCGTCAGCATAATACTATTAAATGCAAATTTAATTAATATTATCGCATCGTAATACTGTTGGTATTACATTTCGTCCTGGAAAACCCATGGTCAAAGCAAATTTGTTATCGTTACTTTTATTTTTTTATTTATATATTTTTTTTTGTAATTATTAATAGGGTGTCCGCAAATTTCACCGACAACGTTTGACTGCATATTCATGACAATAAATAAATACGATCTAAGAAAAAAAAGTTACATAAAAAATTGTTGGTTTTTGAGTTACAGGTCTTCAAAGTTGTCGAAAATAAAACTAATATAATTAATAACTTCATAACCCTTTTACCGATTGTGTTAAAATTTGGTACATTTATTTTGGACTATTAGGCGTATTATTTCTTAAAGCTTTATTCAAATCGATATACTGAGTGATAGTTTTCTCTGGTTACCTCGCCCTATTGGCAGTCAAAACTTTTACAGTGGTGGTATTTTTTGTAAACGGGCATCAACATTGATTGGTGGTTTGGAAGGGTGATTGCTGTGGTTATCAGGTTATGTCATTATTCTCGTGTTTCTTGAGGATAATCTTCACTCAACATATGTAAATTATGAAAAGTAAACGTGCGCTGGGATCTAAATCTTCAAGTTATTGAGAAGGAGTTAAATGAAATGGCCGGATATGTTGCTGTTTTAAAGTTGTAAATATTAGTTTTACATACATTTAACTGTCTTGATACACTGCAGACACTTCCTCTTGGCACATTTTCGATAACATTAAGAATGTCTTCTTCTACTTCACGTGGCAACTGACGAGAATAACTGGCCTTTACGGTTTGTTTTTTAAAAGAATCATAGTCTCGTAATCTTTTGTTAATCGAAGCGAACGTAGTATGGTGAAGCGTTCGACAATTCGGGAATCTTTCACTGTATAATATTGCAGCAGTTCGACAGTTTATCCAGTGGCGTAACTATGGTTGCGCAATGCTGCGCAATGGCTCGCGCTAAAAAACGCACTCCTATGAACCATAAGAGTAACTAAATAAGAGGCTTTTATTGGATAGGGCGGATCGAACATGCATTCACTGAGGCCATCTTACGTTGTTGTAGCAAAACATTGTCCTTTATGGAAATTGTTAAACAGAAATCTGCAAACACAGATCGAATCTGTATTTCCAAGCTTTCAATCAACAGAAATAGAAAGCGTTGACTGAAATATTTCAATAACGTAGAATGTTGGAGGTTTGAGGTTATAGTTTATCTTCAGTTCAGGTAGGTTGCCGCGTTTTATGCATTAATAAATTTGTTTTGTTTTAGATTAATGTAATAAGGGATTTATTGAATTAGTCATCTGAACTGCCTTACTACTATATTTTTATTCAAAATGAGTTTACCTGGTAGAACTACACGTCAATGTTGTGCTCCAAATTGCAAAAGCACTTACTATATGAATGTTTGTAATGCGTCCTATAGAAATAAAAGTTTTTTCAAGATTACAAAAGACAGACAATTACTGTGGATAGAATCAGTTCGAAAATTATGTAAATCAGACTTTGCTCCGACAAACACAGATCATTATTTTTGTGAAGACCATTTTGAGTTAAAATGTTTTAAAAGTGATAGGAATAGTCTCAACAGAAATGCTGCGCCGACATTATTTTTAAGATCAACTACAACTTCATATATTAATTGTAATAATATCACCTTGGAATCTTCGGATAGTATCCAATATTCAGCAAAACAATTTGTTAAAGTAACATTATAGAATTTTCAGAGTACGAGCTGCCAAACTTCAAATTCGGATGATTTTTCACCTCCACCTTTTAAAAAACCGAAATACATATATTCAAAATTGTTATTTCCTACAAGCGCTACTGCGAGCACTAAGGCCATTACTGAGATTACTGATAAGAAGTTGAATGAAGCGGAATCAAATACTGGTCATGTAAACTATGGATGTTAAGAGAATATCTCAACTTTCAAATAAACATAAAAAAATGTATTATCTAGTTTGTCAACAGAAAATTCAGATTTTGAAATTAAAAAGGAAACTATTAAAATGTAAAAGTAATTTGGCTCATGTTCGTAGTATCACCTAATCTAATTTATTTGCAAAATTAAGTCGATATCTTGATCCAATAGGAGTAAAATTTATTGAGTCACAAATTAAAAATTTAAAAAAAATGACCTATCTATAATTCAGAAAATAAAGCACTTGCTTTAGCGATTTACAAACGTGGATCAAGGTGCTACAGGTTTTTACAAAAAATTTTTGTGCTGCCCTCTAAATTTTCCATAAGGAAATATTTAGGCCAAATACCTTTAAATGTTGGGATAAATGAAAAATTGTTACGTAAATTATCAGAACATGTTAGTAAAATGATTACAAGAGATAAAGTTTGTTGTTTAGTATTTGATGAAATAGCTCTGTCTGTTGGTCTAAATTATGACACTTGTAAAGATCAAGTAACGGGATATGTCGATCTTGGGTCCCTGGGTAGACAAAATGAGGTAGCAAATCATGCTCTAGTGTTTTTGGTACAAGATATTAGTAAACATTGGAAGCAACCTATCGTGAATTATTTCACAAAATATGTTATAAAAACAAAGGACCTACAAATTTTGTTAACTGAAATAATTTCAGCATTGCAGTGTTGTGGATTAAAAATAATTTGTACAGTTTGTGATCAAGGTTCCACTAACAGATCAGCTATCAGACAGTTAGTTTCTGAGTCATCAAATTGGATTTATTTTTTTAATGTTAATGGCGAGGAAATTAATCCCATTTTTGACGTTCCTCATTTGCTTAAAAAGACCAGAAATGCTTTATATAACAATAATATTAAATTTTCGCATAATAAAACAGCAAAATTCAACCGCATAGTAAAATGTTATGAAATTGATAAATCTAGACGCTTCCAAGGTTTACGAAAGATACATGACCATTATTTCGAATTAAATCGTAGTAATGTTAAAATGGAAGTAAAAATTCCAGCACAAACGTTAAATGCATCTGTAGCTCATGAAGTTGAGGCAATGGTGGGTAATCCCACTACTGGCATACCTGCTGAGGCTATTCATACAGCAGAGTTTGCGAATGATATTAATGATCTTCTTGATAGTTTAAATTCTCGTATCATTCAGCTAAAGAATTGCAGTTCTTTAAAGTCATCTATTACTAAGAAATCAGCACATATTACATTTTGAAATGATATGTTGGAAGAAATTCAGTCTTGGCAATTTTAGTCTCATAAAGACAACAAAGTAAAAAATGTACATCCCGTAAAAAAGTGTTAAAACATAATTAAAGTGTTTCAGAAGTAATGGGTCATGGAACAGCTGTTAATGGTTCACGTTAATTTTAATTGTTAATTTCAACTATTAGTAGCTGTTTGTGATATATTACTTATGAAATACTTTTTTATTCTGTGTATTTTATTACATTTAAATTTACCGCCATTATGATGCAGCGACATCTATTAGATAGTAAAAATTAGAGGTTACTCTAATTGTGTTTTCCTATGCAGTTTCCTTAATTATTTTATGGTCTGTGTGTGTCGTTTCACTACACATCAGCTACAGATGGCGTACTCTGCCGCTGCTGCCGGCAAAAGACACAGAAAAAAAACCTCTTATTTAGTTACTCTTATGCAATGAACGACGAATTAGCGGAGACAGTCGAACGCGGAGCGGACATCGTCGCGCTCTCCTATCGCGCCCCTCAACCCTTCGGTAGACGTAGAGTTAAAGTTTTGGCAACAGAGACACAAAAAGCCTCAAGATTTAATATTCAACAACTAGTTAATACGTTTTCTATTATTAAGGCCCGGAAAGTGCAATTTTAATAATTGATCTGTGATTAGAATAAAGCTTTGTTTAAGTTAATATTCCGACTGTTACAATAATGTCTTACACCGTATCATCATTTGGTTACGTACCATGGAAACGTGGAATTGTCACAACTGATAAAATGTCAAATCATGATAAAATCTGTATTTTCTTGTTCTAAATATTAAACTAACACAAACATAACATTTGGTTATTTCGCGTGATTTTGTTTTGCTTTGTCTTTAAAAGTACAATTATTTTGATTTTCACTGTGATAGGATGAAGGTTTATTTTTATTTGTGATAGAATGGAGTTTTACTTTTATTTGTATGGTTTTTATTTATTTTTTATTGTTTTTTATATTTATCGAAATAAAATTATTACAGTACGTACACACATGGACGTTTATTTTTAATTTATTTTATTTTTGGAATTTCTTGCTACGCCACTGAGTTTATCCTGCACCCTCCCAATATTAAATGCATGTCGGCAAGCTCATTGAATGAATACTCCATGTTTAATAAAACGATATTAATAAAAAATTTCCTCCTAAATAAACTAATGGAACGAATTTAGAAAACCAGTAAAATCAATTAATATTAAAATAAAAGTAAAATAACAATACGCTGCCACTTAGAGCAAATGACAATAATGACCTTACCTCATAGCCACAGCAATCAACATTTTGTTTTCATTGCCTACTTTCAAGTTATTAAAAAATTAATACTTATATCTTAACGAAATATTAGAATAAAAGCTACAAATATTGAAGAAAAAGGATCAAGTCATTCCATACCACTTATAAGTTTTATCTTATTGTAAGTTATGTGTCGTAGTTTACAACTTATCTTTGAATATAAAATAGAAAAAAGGCAAGTATCAATATCTTTGGGGAAAAAATAAAACTTCCCGTGAGTTTTCCAGTTTGAAGCATCACTAAACTGTATCATATATTATTATACATCATTGGACTCGAAACAAAATAAATAATATATTGTTTACTTGGTTTTCAAGAGTTTTGAGAAAATAACAAACTATTTTACCCACGTACCTACTCAAATTAATATTCAAAATATTACGAAACAAGCAGTCAAATTTTAACAATAATGATATCAGATTTTTGTACTTACATTTTGAATCTTTTCCTCTAACATTTTAAAAAAGTCTTGTTGGCTAGAAGAAATTTCTCTGAAAATTACAATCATATCATAAAATCTGTAGGAGCCGGTTTCTACTACTTACGCTTGGGCAAGTAAGGGTCCACCAAAGGGCTTAACTTTTATTGTTTTTCTTTGTTCACAGTCTTCTATATTTTCTGAGTTTTCAGATTCGGTCTCCACGCCGTCCTCTTCTTCCGATTCGGGCTTTTCTGGAGTAACTGAAATGTAAATAAAATAAAATACAGTCGGTCCCACATGAAAATGTAAATGTAATATTTACAAAAGGTAAAAGCAAAATTGATTCAGCAGTGTTTGAATATACTGCACAGTGGACATTACCTATCAAATGAATAAAATGCAATAAATTTAGTTTTTTTATGACAACATCTATAAGAAATTTTTTTTCTAGCTCTGTTTTTTTAGCTGAGTTATCTTGGAAAACCCCTTTATTTTATTTTTTTCCACCATTGACCGGGGTTGAAAATAAAATTAGTGTCACTTATTGTTATTATATACCTCAAACTAACTTATATAAAAAAATTCAGGCAAGTTGACCAAATTGCGATTTAAAGGCTCATTTAACTGGACTATAAATATTTATGTGTAAATAAATGCAAAGTAATATTCCGAAATTTAATACCTCAATGGAGCCTAGAAATTATAAAGCAAATTCTGAAAAGTGTGGTGCATGTGTGAAATTTACGTACCAATATGTTTACTGTTATCAGAACAATTGCCTTCTTACATACATTTGCGTACGGTTAAATTAGTAATAAATAAAATAAATGAGATGTTTGCTCCATAAGTGATAACAATTAATAGCGCGAGACTTCCTGGACTCGTTATTGTCTGCAGTTTAGTCTATCTGGTCTGTGCTAACAATTAATTGTTGACAGAACAGCCAATGGGGGTCTGTGTTTCCTGCACATTAAAAGTAAAATAAGGATTGTATACACATTAACGAATCTTGCATTGCGTCAACCTATTGGCTGTTTTGCAGTTGTAGATATTTTGGACTTAAATCACAAATACTCAGTTAATAGGTACTCTAATAGGGTACGCTAATAGGTTAATAGGTTAATAGGTTAATAGGCCAGATACTCAAAATAATCAATTAAAAAAAATCAATTGGACAGAATTTTAATGTATAAACATTTTACACTGAGATAATTAACTGTTTTGTCTTAAATCAAATATAATATCCTTGTATTTTATTTCTTAATAAGTCATAAAGTAACTTCTGCCAGTCATGAATCTGATTCACTACTCAAATGTCAAAATAGGTACATGTTTGATACTAATACTACTTAGTGCCGCTGGTATTCCATTTTTTTAATTTAAAATATAAATTAAATTAAATTTAATTATCCCTATTCTTGAAATTTCCTCCGATGACACTTAAACACTTACGTAGAATAATAAATCATAGCTGAAAAGCTACGTTAATCCATTAAGGAAATGCGATGAACAAAAAACCTTTATTCGCAGTAGATTTTAATCATCCTAGATAATGTAAATTCAGTCTACGAGTAGTCTATTAAGTAATTTAATTAATAAGAAGTGGCGCAAAATGGTTATAGTCAAGGCAAGAAAGATATTTTTTAATTCTTCTTTTCCTAATAATACATAACTGCAATTAAAGTTGGTAGATTGAATTAAATAAGAGATTTAGAAATAAGTATCATGGAAACGTGGTTTTCATCCGTTTTAATTAATTAAAATTTACAAACAATTCACGTCGCTCTTTGAGAGATGTCGATGGTGAAAGTAAAATCACGCAAATCAGTACTGACGTTAGTTTTTTTGTGTACGACTTTCTCTAACATGTATTTTAATATTAAAGTTTTAACACTATAGTGGGTGATATCAAGGTCTTTTACAGGTAAAAAACTGTATAATTATTAACTACTTTTAGCACTACCCAGGAATAACGACGTTGATATCTGGCCTTGTTCTTGACGTTAAGTAAATCTTATTATAAAACTTCCCGCTCTTGTAATTTCCGAGGTCAAAAAAGAATTTGATCTTCAAACGACCTTGAAGTCAAGGTCAAGGTCATTTTCAAGGTCATGTCAATACAGCCCCCTTTTCATCCTACAGCTTTTGTATGAAACATTTTTTTTTAAACTGATCTTAACATGGTACTCCGTTGTCTCGAGATTCTTATTTTTTTGTTTTTTATGGCCAAAATATGGATAAAATCGAAAAAATTATAAAAAAGAACATAAACCTTTTTTTCGTTTTTCAACCGAAATCCGTGGTAAAAAATGGGTGTTCCAATTTAGAAAAATCAAAAAACACCACTTCCGGTCTAGACCAGAAACTGTAATATGGACCTTTCAATGGCTCCCTCGGTGTCCTACAATTTGTGTCTGAAACTTTTTTCGAAATAATCGAGTCCAACTGAGATATTATTTTGTCTCAAGATAAATGCCCCACCCGGTATAAAGAACTATTGAAATTATATGCCACGAACACATTTTTAAGGATGTTCTGATTTCTAATGGTAAAATACAGGTAAAAGGTAAATAATAAAGGTAAGATAAATAATAAAGGTAATATAGGTAAAAGAAATGCAAAAGCTACTTTTTTTGGTTGATTTAATCTCAGGTTTGTCCAGTTATTTTTACATGTTCGCAGATTGCTTTTGTGGTATATTTAATAATACCTCAGTCGAATTCAGTTCCCTCTAGGAGCATTACAATGAAAAATAACCTCTGGGAAGTCTCTAAGATCCAGTGTAATTCCATTCTTTATGTAATGAAATTCCATAAAAAATTGTTTCGTAAATTAGTTTTTCTGTTTTGTATATAGCGTAATAGAAATTAATTTATTTATGGAATTTAGTAACATTATTACAGGAACGATATAACTAAAGTTTATAATATAGAAAAAATGATCAATAAAATCAGTGGAACCAAGGGAACTAAACTATGTAGAAATATTAATATATTATATACTGATTTCTTTTCTTATATACACTTATTGTAAATAAGTAGATATAAAAATTCAATACCTACTTTAATGTTCCTAAGTTTAGTTTATTAGTATGATTAAAATTATTTAAGAATAATGTTGATGTCGACATTCATTATAACCAGAAGCAACTCTTTTATACTTTTCCACATATATTATAGGTACTTCGCCTTATAGGTATAGATTGCATTGATGTATGTATGTCAGAGGGTGGTGGAATTGTCTTCCACCACGGCACTTAGGCCTTATTAGGCCCCTTGTACACCCTCCTTCACTACTCGAGTACTTTTCTTCAAACCATCTTATTTACTACACGGATGACTTGGTGGCAAAGTCTCGTACAAGTTATGTATGATAGCATGATCCTGAGTTACAGAGATTTCTTGCTCTGTTCTCATTACCATTTATCGGGGACCACACGCGTGCGGCAAATGTTGGGCGACCCAGGTCTCTGGTAGGCTGCCACAGCCACGTCCACGAGCCTGCCTTAGGTCACCCATCCAAATTTCAGCCCACGTCCGTGATGCTTGACTCGGCAGATCGAAATCCGTCGGCCAAGACACCCGGCTAAGCGGTCCCCGATTGCATTGATTTCCGACACCCTGTATATAAAACTAAATGAAATGAAATTATCTTATCGTTAGAGAGATTCTTACGGCTCTTAAAGGCTACTGGCAATTATTTATGCACCTTTTTAATTTATTATACAAAACTTGTAGTTTCAACAAACACAATTCCATAAAGTTCCAAACAAAGCTTTCAATCAGTACAAACTTTTAACGTAGTTGTATTAATTTGTAAGAATTCTTATTGCGGGCACAATTTTCTTTCTAATTAAAACAGAATATTTTCTTGGGTAAACTGAAATCGTCTGACAAGGGACTTACTAACTTGTTTGTAGTTTCGCTTCGGAATTCACTAATATTGTGGAATTGGAGGGTGTTGACAGGCGGTCGCATTCGCATATGAATTATAAACATAGACCCTTTCCAACAGATGGATTATTTATAGCATCTCATTTCTCGTTTCTCTAATTCAATTCCAATCGATGTTTTGTAGGCACACCAATTATTTAATGAGCTTCCGTAAGAAAAGAGCTAAACTATTTAAATCGGGAGATCTAGGAGGCCATCGCTGTGACCCAGCTTTACTTATTCATTAATAAGGATAAACCTGATTTAAGCATTTCTGAGGGTTCTAGATACTAGAATGTGTTGGCGCACCATTGTGCATCAACCACATCTGATTTTATAAAAACAAAAGAACATCCCCTAGCAAAATTGGTAGCTTAGTTTCTAAAAAATTGCTCTATGAGATGATCGCCTATGATTCTGTATCCTGACGGGTTATTTCTTTAGGACCAAATTATTAAAGTAAGTTTAACTTACAGTTAACTACCTGTAAGCTTAGAGTGTGATTTGTTGCAATTAAAACATACCATCGCCAACACATTCTAATCTTCTAGTTAGTTAACTGTAAGATAAACTTACTTTAATAATTTGGCCCTTATTTATCTATCTACCCCTATGACCAGTATCATAACGGTATTAATTGACAAAAGAGTTTACTATTAACTTCTCGAAAGGGAGTATATAATTATCATTACACTTTAATTAATACGTGGGAACTTATTGTTGTACGTTCAGAGAATGGATTCCAGACAGTTACCGTAGATCGCTCATGTACAAGGTAATCCAGTGGTTGGTTGTAAAGGGTGACACTTAAGTTGGAAGAACAAGAAAACACCAAAACTTTCCAGGAAGGGTTTTAATAACAATAAAAATAAAACAAACGAAATAACGACACAACGGGCTCGAAAAACATTATTAATTAATTTATTGAGACGCGACAGCGTACCCAGATTCAGGGAATGCGCGATCCATACCAAAATTTGGAATGACTTTATCCATTATTAAATTAACCCGAGACTCTAAAACTAAGTAGACTGCTCAATGTGGAACCCAAGGAAAAACTACCTTTCTTTCGGAAATCTCTCCTGAATTCGACACCTCGCTTCGAACACGCTCATTTCTTGTGTCCAGAAGTTTCTGTTCTTATCTTACTGGCGGGAACCCTGAATATCGGGACGCTTTGGCGTAACTATGCCATATTAATAATTATCTAATTGACTGATTTTACAATTATCTAAATAATTTTGAGACTAAACTTACAAATAACCCTAGCCTTCTTCTAGTGACTCCGTGTAGCAATACTTAACGGATTAGTCAATCTCATTTAATATATTCTTATAGCTTGGAAAATCCGCCTAAAAACCAGCTATTTGATCTATTATTTTCTTTTCCAATTATTATCAATTTAACAATTTGATTTAAGTCTAATTTGGAACCAATACGCCTTTCTCGTGTTTTTACTCGTTATTACAAATATGGGATTCTTTGTTCTGTCCCAGACTACGCTGGCGCCTCCCGGATGCAACCGATGACTGTCACATGACGATACGTTTTCAAGAAGTTACATGACCCGAAGTGTTTTAGGATTGTTCTTAGAACGCCTAATCGAACTATGAGCCCCAGTTCTTCTGGAAACCGCCCCATAAATTACAAGGATCTGGCTTTTGTTTTCACAATTCTCTTCTATACTTTTATTGCAAACTAGTGCTGAAATTGTGTTTCAATAATGGCATGGAAAATTTTATGGATCAGGAAGTTTATTGAGAGTATCTTTCTTTATAAATACGTCTAGCCTCAAATGCATTGCCATTGGCATATCATTCATTTCAGCATTTGTAAAATTAGCCATTGTACTTTCTAAGTCAATCACTCAACCTAAGGTTTTGTTGTAAATATACACAAAACTGCAGTATTGAAACAATATTGAAGTCAAATTGTATTTCAAACAAAACTAAGTTCCATAAAGAATCCTAAACATACAGTCTATTCCACATTAACATTATTTTTATTACAATTTTGTTAAAAAATAGTACGTCTTAGTGCCATGACACTAAAATCCATTTTTGTGTAAAGAACTTTGAAATTTTAAATTCCTTCATCATGATGATTTTACAAAATTTGGTACTTATGCAAAATTTCATTTCCATACTATCTTTAAACGTCTCGAAAAAGTTAAAGAAACATCTTCAGAGTTCAACTTGGAAATTCTGTACACACAACCGCTTCTTAAAATATCTACACGTTGCTTCGGAACACTCATAGGTGTTCTTTTCTCTTTTCGACATACTTACGTATTTTCCAATATTTCTATTAAACTCTGTACATAGCCTTCATAAATGTTTACAAGCTACGTAATCGCTGACCTGAGACAACCAATATTGCAGAGCTGGTATTGGCAACGAAAAATATCTAAATCTTGGCGTCGCCAATATTAATGATTCGTTTACAATGAACAATGACAAACTATTACGTCCACGCACGAGGTAATGCGATCACTTATTGGTTGATCTCGTGAAATATTGTGTTTTAATATAATTTTGGTGTTATTGTTTTAACAAATTTTAATTTTACTGTAATTGCCAACATGAAGCGAATAAAATTAGTGTTCTAAATAAAATTGCTGGTCATGTGGCTTGTAATCATTTATGAAGACGCTGTATAAGTTCTTAACTTATGATAAGTGTCGGAGTAATTATTTATTGATAAAACAAGAATGATAAATGACTAATACAGAAATACAATATATCGAAAGTAGACGCGGCGTGTTTGAATGCTCGGATAGAACTAACTAACTGGGTGGTCGGTCGGTCGTCGGTGCCCTCCGTACTTGCAGGTCAAGAAACTGTCCCTTCGGTTGTTTATTACTTTATTACTATTTGGGTTGCTGAATATATTACATCTAGTCCATGCAATATCGTTAATATTCAACAATAAGTATTTTTTTTCGTTTAGAATTCTGTTTAAATTACATACATATGAAATATGTATTCTTTGCTTTATATCGTCTTCATATTTTTCTCTTTTGTGAATAAATGAAATCCATATATTTACATCTATCCACTCGACATATTCGCATTCCTATGCATTATCCTTGGACTCATTTTTCTACCCCTTTCTCTAAAGCACAGCTACATATTTTAATTTTATTACCATCATTTTTTAATAATGTCCTCTCGGCAATTGCAATTATTAGATATACCAATTATGATTTAAAGACTTTTAGCATAAATTATGATCCTTTCCAGTAGTCTCTGCCTCTTATCGCATTTTCCAAATAAAGTTAAATTACAGGGCAGATAGCGAATCTCTGTCCCTTTAAGTCTGAAAACATTTTGTTATCTTTAACTTTTACCTTATACCAGATTTAAATAATACAGACGTTAATTAAAAGAGAACAAAAACCGGAGACAATAAGCAATTATTTTCTTTATGAAAGAGCAGGAATAAAAGGAAGCTATGTTCGGAATTGATATAATCAGAGATGTAGTCACTTCAACTCCAAAATGGAACTAAATTATTATTGTAGTATATAACGCTTCTTGACGATCTATACCATTTCAGTGACATAGGTACCAACAACATAAACATTTTTACATATTCTGTTAGAGCGCTACGTCAGGATTACATAGATGTAATTATTGGGGAATATATGACCAAAAGAATATGTCATGAATGTAAAGATATACAGAGTGACCCATTTGAAAGCGTGTCACATGAATTAACTTTAAATTCTAGATTTTTCAACTAAATCTCCATTTAATTGAATGCATTTATTGTATCGTCTTTGAATGTGTGCTATAACATTAGACAACTGATATGTTGTAATTCTTTGGACAAGTGTAGTAAACTTTTTCTTTAATGAACCCCCAAATAAAAAAATCTAGGGGAGTTAAGTCGGGAGCCCTGGGAGAAAACTCCATTAATCTACTATTTCGCCCTATCCACCGATTAGGAAAATTTTCCTCCAGCCACGCTCTCACAGTACTGGTGTTGTGGATAAGACAGCCATCTAATTGAAACAGTAGACCAGCCACTTCTGCAAGTGGAAGTTAATCAATAGCATCCGAGAATTCATTTTAAAAAAATGTAAAAAACTTTGGCTATTGCCTTCAGAAAAGAAGGGGCCAATTATTCTGGTATTTAATATACCGCACCATACGTTTACCTTCTATGAATACTGTCGCCTATAGTTTATTACCCATTCGGATTTTCTTATGCCTGATGCCTCGTGTTATGTGAATTTACTGTCCCATTGGTTGTAAATATTGCCTCGTCAGTAAACAATTTTTTTTTAGAAAATGTCTGTAATTGGGGTATTCTCCTTGGCACTATAAGGAATATTTCATTTGTTTGTCTTCTAAGGTGTCGCTTTAAAAGGCTTCATATTACTGTATTTTTTAAGTTTTTTCCTTATGGTGTCCCGTGGTAATTGTAGGTCCAAACTAGCAATTCTTAAACTTTTTTCGGATTTTCAGTGAAATAATTTTGAATTTGTTCATTGCTTCTTCTTGGCTGTTGTACATTAATATTTTTTTAAATGTGTAGATACAGCTCCGTATTCATTAATATTGCTCACTCGCCCAATGGTAGACTTGCTAATATTTTGAATTTCTGATGTCTATCACTAAAAATTAGAGGTACTTCCCTTTCGGATCTGTCTCTGTCATCACAAAGTTTTACTATTTCAATCTTATGTTGTAACGTTAAATTACAGAGTCATACTTTTTGACAGTGCACTTAAGGAACAATACGTAAATTTCACTATTGAGCTAATAAATTTGACATATTCGTCTTTTGTTCAGTCATCTGCGACTTAAGTAATTGCAAAGCCTGCTATTAAGAATATTGTTCATCACTATGGAGCTGTATTATTAAAGCATGTTTAAATAAAACAAAGATTGCCACTATTATGAATAACTATGGGATCGACATTATTTATTTAATTTTTTTAGTGACGAGGCAACATTTACAAAAATATTCGTTCAATTAAATGGAGATTTAGTTGAAAAATCCAGAATTTAAAGTTAATTCATGTGTGTTAATTTTATTTTATTGTATTTTTTGTATATTTTATGTTAATTTCTCGTTTATTTATCTGTTTGTTTCATTATATTTTGATATAGGGATGTCTATTAAATGTTGTTATTAAATATTTGCTGTGATTGATTTGTTATCGCATGGATTACTAGATAAAACGCTTCTTAATGCATAATAAACAACTTGACAGCAATTTAGCCGTAGAATCGTTAATCTTGAATATTATTCTGTAGAATTTGATTGCATTTGCCTGTTACTTATCGAAATAAGTCATGTGACGTTTATGCTTATGCATGGCTTTTCACGAATTTTGATTAAATTTACTTTGGAAAACTTGAGCGAGAAAATTGTTCAAATTATTTTGATGAATAACAACACGCAGTTTTTAAAAGAAATTTTTATTTTAGATTTTCTTTTAAAAAAAATGTATACTTATTTCAGTGTTCTTTTATCAGAATACTGCAAATTATAGTTTGTGGGAAACCAAAGCGGAGATCTCTAATTTTTTAACTGGCAAATTTGAGTCTATCCATTGTTATCTTCATTTAAATGATAATAGTACGATTGATTAAAACATCAAAATATACAAAATGGAAACTTCTGTTAGGTTAAATCAAGTATCACAAAACATATGGAACCTTTAGGAAATCTTTTTCTCTTGATGAGGTTATGAAGGCGTATTTTGGACACCACCATCTGTATATTAAGGGTAAGCCCACACGTTATGGATTATAAGTTTTAGTGTCTTACTCCCAGTGAAGGGATATAAAGCCTGTCCCAAAAGTAACGCAGAATTTGAATTATGCGCCATTATCAATCCTAAGAGTTGGCAGTATTGTGCAGGGTCACATGTAGTAAACACGTTGAAGTTGAACAAATTACGACGAATGAGCAAATGAAGATTGTGAAAATTCATTACAGAAAAGAACGGACCAATCACTAAACCAGCGTAAAATCCCACACCATAGTTCCACGTAATTTACGTACAATCTCAGCTACACACTCCGTACTTGTAATAAATTTTCACAATCTTCACTCGCTCATGCGTCATGTATAAAATGGCGCACAAATTAAGTACTGCGTTAATTTTGGGACACTCTTTGTTTTAAAGTTCCAGTCTAATTGTGGCAAAGGCGATAAAATTGATGGGAAGCTTTTGGGTAAAGTGCAGCTATCTATACAACTAACGGATTCATTGTTTATTTAGACAATTTTTTAAATTTATTAAGAAAGTTCCATTAAAAGATTTTACCAAGCTGAAAAGAAGTTCATTGCACACCATAACAGTTGAAAATACCAACAAAATTCTAACCGGAGTTAAGATTGCTCCAAATTTAAATAAAGCGAATATCTCTTTAACAAAAGGGTCCTACAAGCGATGTCAAAGGGATTCAGAAAACATATTGAGATTGAACAGCCCACTATTGTGAATTTGTCAGGCAAGGCATGGGTGGAGTCGATTTATTTGACAAAATAACGGCACTTTATCGTGTAAGAATCGGTCCTTTTATAAGATTTTCTCTAAACAGGGCAGTGGTAAATATGTGAATTCTGTACAAATGTTAATCTACAAATACACTTAGGTACTTCAGTTTATAAGAATTGTTTTATTAGTTGTAATAGCTTCTTTGGAATATTTTCTTTGGAATTCTATTTTATAAGGTGCTTAAAGTTACGTCCACCACGTTACCATTTACGTCACGACAGTAATGAATTCGCTGAACAAAATTATGTAGCGAATCTAAAAGGATGTTGGAAGGAATAGTGAAAATTTCATTCCTTATCCTTTCCTGCAACTGTTCGATATTTTGCGGCCTAGGTATTTTTGTAGACTACATTTTTTGATCCCATAGAGAAAAGTCAGGCAGGGTTATATCGGGAGATCTAGCTGGCCATTCAATTGCACTTCTGGGTTCAATCCATTTATCAAAATGTGAAGGAACCCCATTATATTGAAACTGTAATTGTTCTGATGACGTATCCACCAATAATTCCACACTAAACATTTACTTTCTGTCATTGGGTGTGAACTTCCATCCAATGTTGATTGTGGCCTGACCAATACTTACAGTTGTGTCGGTTTACGTGCCCGTTTAAACAGAATGTGGATTCGTCAGAAAACAATATGTGGGTGACAAAGGTGACAGGAATTGGATATAATTTTTCCCGTTTGCAAATTTTTTTAAATGGAATGTTACATGAATGAATGAATGAACACATGTTACAATTTAAAGCCATTCAAAGAATTTTCATCATTTGTAAGGCTTACTGGTCTTCTACTTTTTCGTCGATCTGTAACACCTACAGTTTCATAAAAACGTTCCCGATCGGGATGCAATTCATGAAAAGTATCCACTACTTCGTTACAACTTCGTCCTTTATCACCATATCTTATGATCATTAAAACTTCAATACGCTCGGTTTCACTTAAGCGTGCTATTTTTGCGAGAAAATTATTTACACTAAATGTATTTTTGATATGTATGTCAAGACAATAATTACTATTAGATAAAAGAACGACACGGCGTTGTTATGGAACTAGAAACTTTCAAAGGTAACTTGATGGACTATAAACTTACCTAATTGACAAATATTTTTGTATAATTTATTTTTGACTGATCCCGTAAGTAATTGTACATACGTTTTTCTTCATTGTAATATATTTTAAAAAAACCTTAAAAGTTTGCGTCTTATGATTTTTCAATAGCTATCTTTAGGAAATGATGGACTGTTTCCATACATGTTAGTGATATAGAAAACTTTTACCATTTCCTGACTTTGTTATTTATAAAAATAGTGACGTATTTTTGGAAAATTGTGTATTTTTTAAGATTTCAATAAAAAGTAGATTTTTATAATTTTAAATTATATGCTAATTTAAATAAAAAAAATCTCAAAATGGCGATTTCCAGGCCTTACAAGGTTATGAAACAAGCAAATGTATACCCATTATTTAATATATTTTATTATATTGGTCGCTAATAGGATTTTTGCAATGTGCACCGATCTATTAAAATTGTTGACTCGGAAATAGGCTTATACCCAATTATTTATTGACGTCCTATTAACGAACTTTCATTTAATTATTGGAATTATTTTATTCAGTGCAGGTTTTGAGATTAAAATATTTCGATAACACATACTGAAAATTTATATGCTGCTGTATCAGGTTTATTTTTCTGCTGAAGTGGTCTTTACGCTACGGTAACTCGATCGGTAATAGGTACGTAAAAAGTAGTTGAACTAAAATATGGGTCGGTATCAGGAAAATTACCCATTTTTAATTTGAAGTAATTTCGATTATACCAGGTGTCTCACTTGTATTGTTCCAATATCTCCATTATTTAAAAAACTATAAATTTGATATTTGGGGCATCTGATTTGATACCTGATTTAAATTGAGTCTAATATTAAAATTCTTTCACTTCCGGTTTAACCGGAAACGACCGTAACTTTTCTATTTTAAATGACATCCTGTATATTTTTCTTAAAATTTGAATTCTACAAAAGAATCCCTTTTTCGTGAAGTGTTACACTTTGTATTTAGACTTCAAAACGGAAGTGAAATTGCAGTTTAAATGTTTCCAAAATTGGGATTGTACAAATCAAAGCGATTTACGAAAACTAAAGCAAGTGAAATTATTTGAATAAATTTGATTGTTTACTTTGATAGTTCATGAAGTGTTACAAAAATTTGTATTAATAAGTTGCTTTGAACAAAACATGCATATTCACAATGAATAACGATGATTCTATAAATCAGAAAAAATGGGATATGATCCTAATTTACGCGAAATGCACAAAAAACAGGCCTTCCTTGTTTATGGAGAGCGGTATCCTGACAGACGTAGGTATGCCAAGTGATATACGTATATACTTTACATGTCAGACTGCAAAATACGACATATGGGGCCTTCTTAAAAAAAGAATGCTACTGATGAAGAGCACAGGTGTTTTGCGAAGTGTGCTTAATAATTCACATATTTCAATTCGAGAAATTGAAGCAGAATGCGATATCTCTCGTTCTTCTAAACAACGAATCCTAAAATCCGGCAAATTCAGTTCTTTATCCATCTGCAACTAGGATTAGAACCAAGAGATTATGACAGAAAACTTGCATGGCTAGCCAACAATTGCCATTATTGGTCTATAGATAGTATTCATTGGATAAGAGAGACAAATTTTCAAAGAATTTCGAACCAAAGTTTTATGAATTGGTGAGGCATATTTAGAATTTCTTCAGAGCGAACTTCCAATGTTACGCTGAATATACGTGCCAATATGTATTTTCAGCATGATGGGGCACCCCCTCACCATTTTAGAATTGTATAGTTGCTTATTTAAATCAAATTTTCCCTAACAAGTGGATCGGCACATATGGACCAATAAGATGGCCTACAAGAGCACCCGATCTAACGCCGTTAGATTATTTTATACCTGTGAATTCATCTTTAGAAGGACTATCTATTTATACTATAAAATATAGAGCGTCCTATTGAAAAAAAAATTTGGTAATGTTATGGTAATGTCAAACATGGTTAAAAAAATAGAAAATATTGCAGAAAAGTGACAATTTCTATTTACTAATTGTCCTGTTTCAGCGGTTTTTTTAAAATCTGAACTGGAAAAAAATATGAATTTTGTTCCATCATATTGGAACACAGTGTATATTCCGCAGTAAACATGAAATAAACGAAAGTATCCATTTCGACTACCTTAAAATATTGTAGTCATGCAGCAGTGCCAAATTGGACAATCAGCTTAAACAGTTTACTGCAAATCCCTGGACACGTCGTAGGCAGTATAATCTAATAACCATAAAATAATTAAGTTACAGCATTAAACCTATTACGTTAAACGACTGCGGCAATGTGGTGTTAACTCTCCATATGCGGAACATGTCCCAATTTATCAAAAAATATATAGGGTGTATCTAAATAATACCGAAAAAATGTAAGGGGCGATTCTCTGATGAAAATTAATAGGGGTCTTTGGTATAAATTTATTTGAAAAAATTTTTCCCCAGAAAAGTTAGGTACGCCCCTGCAAAAATTTAAAAAAAAAGATTTTCTGTTTTATCGTACATGTATATCAAGATAAAGAGACCAAGCTTGGTGAACATTATCTGTCACAAAAACTATACTTATTGAATTTTTTTCAACCTTAAAGTATTTTTGTAAGGGGTTGAAAAATCAACCCCTATGACATTTTTTCTTATAATTTTATTTTCGATAAAATTATTGCAATTTAAAAATTATGTGTAAAAAGCCATATTCATTTACTAACTTTTTGATATCTTCAAGTATTTTCGAAACGTTAAGGGTTTATGAGAAAAAAAAAATAAATCCATTGCAATGCATTTTTAAAAAGATGAGCTGTTTAATTCCAGTGTATTTTGCCGAAAGGTCTAGCGGCCTGTTCATTGCAATGGAATGCAAAACAATAAATTTGAAGATAGGTCTCGATCAAAATTATTTAATCATTTCATAAAATACACTCGCGTTAAACAGCTAATTTTTAAAAAAATGCATTGCAATACATTTTTTTTCTCATAAATCCTTAACTTTTCGAAAAAAAACATGGAGAACTCAAAAAGTAAATGAATGAGGCTTTTTAGACATATTTTATAAAAATATATATTATATTTTATTGAAAAAAAAATTTTTAAAAATGTCATAGATGTTGATTATTTCAATCCCTTACAAAAATACTTCAGGGTTGAAAAAATTTAAAAAAGTAAATTTTTTTGACAGATAATGTTCACCAAGTTTGGTTTCTTTATCTTGATATACCTACATGGAAGATAAAAAA